CGCCCCTGCCCCAGCAGCTCCTTCAGGCCCTCCGGCTGCAGGTCTTCCTCCACCCAGCGCTCCTGGCAGCAGACCTGCCTGGCATATAGTGCCAGGTGCTGCCAGTGGTACTCCTCCAGGTGCCGGGTCATCCTGCTGGCCCGGGTGCGGGACGCTGTCCTGGGTGGGGTTGTGCGCCCTGCACCCGCGGCTGGTGCGCCCTGCACCCGTGGCTGTGGAGAAACAAGAGACCTGCTCAGTTATCCCTGGGGACACAGTGGGTGATACCCTGCCCCCCTCTGCAAGGTGAGGACGGCAGGTCTCCGCACCATCATGTCCTGCTATCCCTGGGAGTGTGAGCTGGCCCAGGACTGTTTCCATGCCCCTGTGCTGTATATTGTGTGGGGGTGTGGTGGGGGGGAAGGGAGATGTGCCCTGCCTCTGCATAGAGGGAGCTTCTGGGGAGAGAGCATTGTGCAGTGTCTCTCCCCGGGGTCAGGAGCATGTCATGTGCCTTCATACATACATGCGTGTGGGTAACAGGCAAGGGCCCCTGTGTGGCACATGCACAGGTTGCTGCGTGATCTGTGGTCAGCAAGGACCACACGCGCAGTCCCTAGGCTCCCCCCCACACCCTTCTCTCCTCCCCCATCCCCCACATAAGGGGACATTGATGATACTCACATGTTGAGGCCTCCCTGGCCTTGGATGACACTGGTGACAAGCTTGCTGGGATAGCTCTGGATGCCGGAGTTCCTTCCAGGCTGTGATTCCAAATTAACTTTGCTGTGTAGACATACCCTCAGTCTTCTCCTGTCTCTTTTTCTATGGACAAACCCACGTCCAGGGCCAAGTCCCTGCTGGACAAGGGCAGAGTTCCACAAAATTGGGACTCTCTTAAAGGCAGACAGATGGGCTCCCAACATCCGATGGGGTTTGCCCTCATGCTTATATCTGTTTCTTCAGGAAAAACTGGAGGCCCATTTGAAGAAGACTCCTTTGAAGGCTCTGCGGGAAGAGAGAGAAAAGCTGCTGAGAAGGAAAACAGCAACAGAAGGGAAAAGCCAGGAGTATCTGGTAAGTGCTTGTGGCTATGGACCAGCAGGGACTGGCAGTGGGAGGGCTGTGTTAGGAGGCAGACTCCTGCGTGTCCTTGGTGAGGTTGGGCTTGTTTGTGTTTCCCCTGGATCATGAATTGCTGGCTGAGATCCATGTGTAGAA